GGGGGCCGTTACTTTCAGAATTCTACGGTATACAAGCCCAAAGAGCCCTAGCGTCTGCTTATTAGTTTACTGTCTTAAGATAATATAATAAAACACGAGAACAAAAATCGAAGTTCAAATTCCGTTTTTCAATGTCTTACGAAAATAAAAAATGAAAAACGGAAATGATAATTACAATTCTGTTGTACAATGTCATAGGAAAATGAAAAACGAAAATAGAAGTTGCAATTTTGTTTTTAATGTAGTAGGTCAACGAAAAACCAAAATAAAAGTTCAAATTTCCTTTTCTGATGGCGTGGGTAAACGAAAAATGAAACTGGAAGTTTGAATTTTGTTTTCCCATGTTGTAGGAAAACACTTTGGACTAAGGTACACACATTCAACTACTTTTGTCAGGGATTGTAGCTATTCAATTTCCACTATTTTTGATTTTCCATTTAATGTTTAGTTTTTGTTTGAATTGACTATCAAGTGGGAATTTTTCCATCATTTTTCAGTCATAGATGTACTTTTTCATTTGCCATTTCCACATCCCCCATAAGACACCTTGTTTGCCCCCCAAAATTTTGCACAAGCATTCTCTTCAGTTTCTCTTGCGACAACTGACATTGTCAAGAAATACTGCAAAAATGTAACATGGCAAGAGAATACGTGGCGAGATGTCGCATTGTTGAAAACATTCGTAAAGTTATCAGTTATCCTTGTCTGAGACAGTTATAAAGAAAGTGCTGCTTCTTATGTGATCACCAAAACAAGTTAGAACTTAATAATTTTCATTTTCTTTCCTATTTTTTTCGCTCTTCATTTCCCTAACCAATATCAGTGATTTTTTTTTCTTTCTTTGTTACCTTTTGAGAGATCTTAGAAACGAGAAAAAACTGTATTCAATGTGGAGTCACTATACCACAAGGCAGGGTGACCAAATACAAGTACCCTGTGTTGTCATAATTTCTTTTTTTTTCTTTTCTTTTTTCCTTCCCTTTCCAAGGCAATATCAGTAACTGCAGAACTCCCAGCACTGTGTTATGCCTTTTTTCTATTTAAATGATTTATAATCAACTCTTTGTTCGTATCATTTTGCCATATCCATATTTATTTACACTACTGTATAAATAATAGCAAAACATGTTGCTCGAATGTTCCTCTATTCTCTCGTCAGTTGTCAGTTGATCATCTCAAAATTTTAATCACAGCTTGAATCATTCATAAAATACATACAGCTCATCCATTTTGTGATTTTCGATATCTTCTTTTTTGGCAGTAGATTACAGTTAAACCTGTATTAAGCAGACACCTTCCAGAACTGAGCTTTTTATATAATTAGCTTCTATATATAGAGACGTTCATGCTAAAATCTATTCAATGTAGATCATTTAGACATTTCGGTCATCAGAAAGACTAGTGAGACAATCTCAGATAGTGCAGAGTGTAATGTATAGCTCTGATACAGTGCTCATAACACAGTTCCTATATAACCCCTGCCACCCACTCCTGGTTTGTACTGACCTTGTTAGTCAGCTAGGGATTTTGATGAGACATAATCTTCGCAGTGTGTATGTTTGATGTGTGTATTTTCATTCACAGTCCAAGAATAACTTAAAATTAATTACCATTTACCATTGATTTTTGCTCATTTGTATATGTAATAGGACTACATGCTGTCCAATTTGGAAATAATTGGATGAAAAAAATTCTGAGG